AGCACCAACTCAAATCCATTTCAGGCTGTGATCTCTGCAGCTGAGGCCAACATACCAGGGTCCCCTGAGGAGACGTGGGCACCACCTACTGAAGAGTCTGTTTCTGATTAAGGGTAGGGATAGGGTGGGGATTTATCCCAGAGGCAATTATTTGCTGACTTTGGGCTAAGAAGAGAAAAAAGCATTATGTTCTCAACCCCAGCATCCTTACCAACAATTCTCTGAACCGTCCCAAAGGTCTTCTAAATGGGAACATAGTTCTTTACAAACAGAGGTCTATGACAACTTCTCCTCAGGAACAAGGGAGCTCAGTCAAAGCTCAAGGGCAGTGCCTGGCTTCTCCCAACCCCGACTGTGCCTCCAGCTCTCCAGGCCACACCCAGGCACCTGCGCAGAAGTTCCCCAAGCAATTTTGATGCACATGCCCGAATTCTGGTGCACAGGCTCCCAGAAAAACCAGACCATCTATGACATGTAGTACTTAGCTGAGGCTTCCCTCCAGGCCCTCTCCTGTGTAAACACAACTGTGTGCAGGCCACATAGAAGAGGAGTCTAAAGAAACTGATAAACTGAATCAGCCACAAACTAAAGCCTCAGAAAGAAAAAGCATTTAAGATTGATTTATATGTATACATCCAATAGTTGCTGAGAGTGTGTCCAAATCACCTAAGAAAACTTGTTAAAAGTACTGCCCCTAAGGTAGACTTCCTGAATCAGGATGTCCAGGGGTGGGGAGCCCAGTAATGCCACAGAATCAGTCTGGGCTGGGAAGCTCTGCTTCGGTCTATGCTCACTGTCTCAAAAGTATAGACGGTGAGGGTCGCAACTTTAAACCCTGACACAGCAAAAGGAAACAGAAGAGCCTGCAGGAATGGGTTTACATCACATGATAAATGCTAACCTTAGCACTGCCTGTAGGGAGAGACAAAAACTTCATTCCAAGTGTGACTGCTCACTCAGGATGCAACCTGATCTATGTCCCATAGACTAACCATGCAGGGCTGGCCCCTGCTGGGGAAAGAGAGGAGAGGAAAGAGAGGAGAGGAAAGAGAGGAGTTTTACTTGCTCAGGGCTGGCAAATGCCTGAAATGAATGCTGCTGGTCCATCCATCTCGTGCCCACAACAGACATCATAAAGGGACCATGGCAGACTTTCCTACCAACCCAAACAGACTCCCCAGAGATGAGAGCTGGCTGGTGAAGTGAAATCCACAAGCCCTAGGTGTCCTAACAAGGACAGTTTAGAAATTGGGCCTCTCTGCACCGCCGTGGCTAACATACCAATCTCCGAGGCAATCCAGAAACTCTTGAGGAAATAATGTGCCTTTAAACCAAACCAATTTCCTACCTTCTCAATGAAGCACCCCAAGTTTTAGGGCAAATGAGCAAAGTTTTTATAAACCCTATCAATCTGACTGGCCAATAGACAAGACTGCATTGGGTGAACTTCCCCCTCAAATCTCCCCCAAATACTTCAGTCTGAATTAACTATTCCTTTCACACTTGCTTAGGTCCTGTTTGTGTCTGCGTCCACTAACAGATTGCCAATTCTTTGCTGGGAATCCTTAAAATCAGCCCTCATTCCACATACTCCTGCCATGGAAACAAAGATAAAGTGACGGGACTTGACCTCAGGCATATGTCAACTGGGAAGTGAATCAACAACACTGAGGTGACAAGGACTGCCAACAAACACCTTGATCTTGATGACCCTGAGGGGGAACAGGTACGTGAAATGTGTAGCTTTCTGGGTACTCTGGACTGCCCTGGCTGCACAACCTGGACGAGGTAAGGGGCATGCAGGTGCTCACCAGGAACACCTATCACTCAAACACGGCAGGTACATTAGTTCTATTAAGTCTTTATTTGGCTCCTGGAGGTCCCAGGTCCGCAATTTCTAAAGTGGCAATATATTTTAAGAAAGCACTAACCCCGACTATCAAGAGCCATACTCTAATGGAAAGACCTTCCTAGCCATGACACAAAATTAAAATGAAAAAATAATGTATATTTTCTAAGATCTGCATATGACTGACATGAAAGAATGAGAACAGAATGCTTACTTCTCAGCAGTGGCTCATCCATCCTGCGTGACATGAAAAGGTATGAAAATCAGGAACGTAAACTGACGAGCCGGCCTCCCCACGCCATGTGTGCACAGAAGAAGGCACAATAAATATACAGGAAGGGAAAATACAGTTTGAAACATGGCTAAAACGTCAAAGACAGAGCTGAGGTCTTGGGCCAAATCAAAGAAACAGGATCCTGAGTGCTACTGCCCAGTTCCAGAAAAGGCTTGGTAGGAAATCCCCACTAAGCATGAGCTCCAACAAAGATACCAGGCAGGACAAATCTAGAGCCAATGAAAGGCCTGTGCCTCTCCAGCTAAGAGAATAAAGGGGATGGGATGTCTTAGGAGTCACCCATTCTCACTCCCACAACTTTAAAAGAGCATTGTAACCGGCTATAACCTCAGGAAAAGGTGTCTAGCCTGGGTACTGCTCCTAAATTCTAACCAAGAAAAACTCATTTTCTAGTTGTAAACTATGTAACTTTATTCTGATCATCCATCATCAAACTATTGCTAAGACAAGATTCCTAAAAGTCTTTTTCTTTCCTTGAGGGAATACGATTACAATTCCAATCCATCTACAAAGATCAGCAACAAGTAACAAAACCTAGTGACTGGCGGTTTTAAAATGCTCTTACTGTGCTTCTCAAACCTGAGCATTTTATTTTCGTTCAACACTCCCCAATCCAAAGAGCACCAAAGGAGATGTAATACACTTCAATGTGGATATCTGCAGTTTAACAGCCTTAATAACTACAGTTATAAAATTTTAAGAGCTATCGTATTTTGGTAGCAATTAAAAGTTATTGATATTTCTAAAATTCATTTGCGATTTTACTATAACTTTAGCAAAGTACTGGCTTATAATACGGCTTTAGAAATATTAAATTGTTTTACAGTCTTAACATTATTAAGAAAAACATATTGCCATGAAATTAAACTAAACCCACGTTTAAAATTCAATCAAAATAAATTGCTCTTGATCAAAATATGATATATATAAATACATTTAATATTGATCCAGTTTAATGGGAAGAATTTATATTGCTCCACTATAATCAATATGTTGAGATTAATGCTTTTATTAATTCTCCATACTAGTTAAGAAAAAGACTGACACTACTCACTTTTCAGGAGTAGTTAATAATAATTCCTCAAAAAACTTTACAGGTAGTAAGTATGCATAGGGACTAAAGTTCCAGTGAGAAATGACAAGTATAAGCCCCTCCTCAACTATGTATTATTGTAACATGCTATGCTACTAGACTGTGAGTGTAACAGCACTAATGAATGGATATAAGTCACAGGGTCTCAAATTATTTTGTAAGAGCCCTCTGCTGCATCTACTTTGAAAAGGTCATATATGGGTCTGTCTGGCAGTCTGGATATAGGTCATGAGCAGTTCTTTTTTTTTTTTTTTTTGAGACAGAGCCTCAAGCTGTCCCCCTGGGTAGAGTGCCGTGGCATCACAGCTTACAGCAACCTCCAACTCCTGGGTTCAAGCAAGTCTCCTGCCTCAGCCTCCCAAGTAGCTGGGACCACAGACACCCGCCACAACGCCTGGCTATTTTTTGGTTGCAGCCATCATTGTTGCTCGGCGGGCCCAGGCTGGATTCCAACCCACCACCTTAGGTGTATTTGACTGGCACCTTAGCCACTTGAGCCACAGGCGCTGAGCCCCTGAGCAGTTCTTAAATAAGGAAAGAAAAATTATCAGGTCAACCTTCACTCACGCAGGTCAGTGGAAAGCTACAATAAATACAACAAACTAGGTCTACCCACCTTGAGAAATAAGAAAAGGCCACCCACTATTAAGCATTTACAAAGAAATAAGATTCCTTCTTCCCTGTGACCTCCTGAGCGTTCCTGGTAAGCTAACTCAGACTTGAGACCAGCGGCAGTGTAGTGAGTGCTCAGCGGGACACTGTAGGGAAGCCCACAGTACAGGGATTGTTTTTGCTGGCTCACAACAATATGTGGCGATACACAATCTTGACTTCACATTCCCCAAGTTCACCTTCCCTTGTATCCCACTTGCATCATACACTGACCAACGCATGGAAATAAAAGCCAAAGTTAACCTCCAGCATTAAAAATGACAATGAAAAGTATGCCAAAGTACACTCCGGCACAACAGTGATTTATAACTATGCGGATAACTATTTTTGCAAAACAAGAGGCATTTAAGAAAGCGCTTCAGCTTTTTTCTTAAAGGTAAGTTCTCTAAAATTACTTTCCTACTTCAAAAGGAAGAGCAAAAACCCCTACCCAATTCACAGGTCATATCTTTTTCCAGACACTTACTCCAGGGTGGGTGTAAAGGCCACACCCCTCATGCTCAGTCCTCTATATGCATCTTGCCCCAGCTTCCCTTTCGCTTTTCTTTCTTTCTTTTTTTTTTTTTTTTTTTTT